CCGCAAAATGCACCAAGAAAGACCCATCTCAAGGCACATAATTTCAATTGCAGAACACCCAGCGGGGTGGGGGTGGGAGTGAGGTGGTCATAAAAGCTTCTGGGTTTTTTTCATTAATTTTTTTAATTAAGCAGATTAGAAACTGATTAGAGTGACTTTGGACTTTCAACCAGCAACACTGTAAATTAAAAGGCTAGCAATGCTGAGGGGAAATTAGTTCTAACTTTGCTTTCCATACCTAGCCAAACTATCAAGTGTAAGAGAGAGGGCGAAATATTAAGAACAGGAAAAAGATGGCCTTTAAATTTAAATCCTTTGCATCCACTCGCTCTTCCTCAGGAAGCTTTTGGAGCATATGCACCATGGAATAAAGAGTAAAGATGGGGAGAGGGAGAGGCTGATGCTTGGGCAGCGAATTCTTTAAAGTGGCTCTTCAAGCCAAAGTTGCTAATTCCCACCAAACGACTTTTCCCTGAATGGGTCTGGTAAGAAGGGCTGGGAAAGATATTGATGGGATTCACCTGTGAGTAATTGTGAGCCAGGACTCCCTGGAGTGCCATCCTGCTGTGTAGAAAATGAGCCCTCGGAGCAGTAGGAGGGAATTCATTACCAGCAAGAACTAGGAGTGGAGTGTGCCCTCTGGACCTAGGTTACCTACCTGCACAGTGAACCTCCCGGATCCAAAAGACAGCTACGCCATCAGAGGAGCAGCAGCAGGACCGGGAGCCAGACTAGAGCATGGAACAGAGCGCTGGACGTCCCAACCCACAGACCAAAGAAAGATGAATGCTTTTGTGCAGCAGGCCGGTTTGCAGCGTAGGGTACCTGTGGGCACTTAATTCAGGGAGAGGGGTTTGCTGACCCACGGAGCTTAAGCTGGATGTCTCGGGTTAAGTCTTGCAGCAAAATGGTATGTGCTCTTGGGCATTTATTAGCAGGTCTGACAGAACTTTGTAATATGTCCCGATTAAACAACTCAACCCTGAACATTTCTCACTGGTGTTACAACTTGTTAAACTTCCTTAATAAACTCTTTAGTCGTGAATTTTGGATATTAGAACCTAGAGATAAAGTAGAGAATATTACTTCAGACAACATACTGAGATACAGGGGAACAAAGACACACAGGAGGGTAGTTCTGGAATTTCAGTGTGTAACAGCCTCAAGAACAATAAGTTAAGGAAGAATGGTAAAGTCCAAGGGAGTGTTGTCAAGAAGAAGAAAGATTCACTACAATGTTACAATTATTAATGTGTTTGACAGGAATCCTGGTGATACAATGGTTACAGTGTTCAGCTGCTAACCCGAAAGGTCAGTAGTTCAAACCTACCAAATCATGGTTGTGTTCTTTTGAGGATGAATTTGTCATAGGTACTTGATAAACTAAGCCAAGGAAGAGGGGAGGGGACAAGCATTAACTAAGAATTAATAATAGTTAATAACTCTATTATTACATTGCCTAAGAAAGGCAATGTAATAATAGTACATACACTGCATTGCCCAGGAGTAAGTCATAAGAATGTAAATATAAATTTTTAAAAAAGAACAAATATTTTTTAACCAAAAATGTTATTGGTCTATCTAGATAAGATAGGTGGGATAAACAATCTGGAGGAAAAAACAACAGGACCAATGGTTCTAGCAGGGAAGAGAGGGGACATGAGAGAGGGGGAGGCAGGAGGAAAGGAAGTGGGCGTTAACAAACCCAGGGACAAGGGAACAACAAGGGATCTAAAATCGATGTCGAGGAGGGTGTAGCAGGCCTGGTAGGGCTTGATCAAGGGCAATGTAACTGAGAGGAATTACTGAAACCTAAATGAAGGCTGAACATGATAGTAGGACAAGAGGAAAGTGAAAGGAAATAAAGGAAAGAGCTAGGAGGCAAAGGACATTTTTAGAGGTATAAATACAGGTATGTATATATGACGATGGGGAAATAGATCTATGAGCATATATGTATAGGTTTAGTATTAAGGTAGCAGATGGACATTGGGCCTCTACTCAAGTACTCCCTCAATGCGCTGTTCTATTAAACTGACATTCCATGATGCTCACATTCCCAACACAATTGCTGAAGACAAAGCGGGTTCATAAGCAAATATGAAGAAATCTG